CCAGTGTGAGCGTTTTAATCGCACTTTGCTAGACATGTTAGGTACTTTGACTGATGATGGTAAGGTCGATTGGAAATCACGCGTAGCCCCCTTAGTACACGCGTATAATGCCACTACCAACAGTTCTACAGGATTCTCTCCATATTTTCTTATGTTTGGTCGTCATCCGAGACTCCCTATTGATATTATTTTGGGTCTGGATAAGCAAAATAATGGTTCATCTACCACAGTAACTAAGTACGCAAGCGATATGCAAAACCGCTTAGAAGATGCTTATAAGCGAGCGGCAGCGCAAGCGATCAAATCGACCAGCGCGAACAAAGAGGCGTATGACAGAAAAGCGCGTGATTCTGCTCTCCAAATTAATGATAGAGTTTTAGTTAGGTCATTAGGTTTTAAGGGTGCCCATAAACTTTCTGATAGGTGGGGTAAAACAACATATAAAGTAGTTAAGCGTGTAAGTCCTGATATCCCTGTATATGTTGTACGACCTGATGTTATAAAAGGCCCTGAGCGAACTCTTCACAGAAATCACCTGTTACCTATTCTGTCTCTTCCCCTTGATGATAATCAGCCACCCCAACCACATGCTACCCGAGTACATGACTCTAACAAACTGAGTACCAGTGGGCTCAGCGATCGGCCAAAACCAGCTCCTCGACCTGTTTCCTCGCCCCGCATCCCAGTCCCTGCACCTCGTCGCTACCCAGTCCCTGCCCCACGACAACCTTCCCCAGCCCCTCCTGTGCCAGTTCCTGATTCTTCTAATTCAGACCCGAGTGATATTCCTCCCGTACCACGCCCTAGAAGAACGACAAAACCCCCTGTAAGATTTTCATATGCTATGTCTGAAAGTAGTTCGAATTCTTGTAATGATGCTAATTTGTTGTTTAAACTCTTAGAAGATGCGTCTAGAGAAGCAGAACGGAATGCATCTCTTAGACGAATGATTTTGCAAACGTTTGCTTAAATTGCTATTGTTTTGATGTTTCTAAAGGATTTTTAGAATTTTTATCTATTTTTGTTACACATTGTCATTTTGTTTGACTTAATATTTATATTGCTCTCGTTTAAGAAATTTGTGTTAATTGATTGTTTCAATCGACGAATGTTGTTTGTAATTTAAAAATAAGTTTTCTGTTACCGTATATGA